TATATATATTTCATAAAGATTATAACTATAAAAGTATGAATATAAAATATTTCAGTGAGCAGAACATTACAATGACATATGTTTAGAAATTATTAAGTTAGGCCATTTGTTTTATGTTAATATAGCATAATTATTGTATAACAAAACAAAAATTACATTATCAAAATAATATTATCCTCACTGGAGTGTTCTACTTTAGAAAAGTACAAGTAGCGCAATCTCTTACAAACTAGGGGAAGTACGTTCGCTATTATTTTTACCGGCGGACGTTACAGGCATCTGTCTCTGGTGTGGCCGATCGCCATGCATTTGAAACACTTCGTGGGTCTTTTGTTCAGGAGCTGCACTCTCAGCGAGCTCCAACCTACTCTCAGTCTGCCCGCTTCTGCGAGTTCGATTGCGTTTTCAAGGAGGCATTTGACCAATAATGATTGCAGTCTGTTTCTAATTTTTCTCATTTTTCCTAGCTTTACCTCCGCGCCTTCGACATTCATGTGTCTACTCAACGCAAGTTTTATGTCGGTCTCTTCCACGATTTCGTCTATATCCCACAGTAACACTTCTCCCATAGGTGTCGGAGTGTGCACCCTTACCTGCGGGAATTCCACTAGCAGCTTCTTCATCCTTTCTACCAGTTCGTGGGCCTTTTTCTTCGCATTCTCCGCGAATATTTGTAAAGTTAATGCCCCTCTTAGCGTTCTGTTTATTTTTGTGTCCCTAATTCCTAAGCTTTCCAGAGATATCTTTTCCCTGGCCGTCTTCATGATTTCCGAGTATGTAGGTCCGTCCTTATCCACTTCCACTATCACTATCGGCACCCTCGCCAGCCTTCTTCTCGCTCCTGGAATCGCGTACGCGCTTCCCGCTCTTGAGCTTCCTCTATTCTTCCCTGCTCTATCCGGTTCCCCGTAGTTCCATTGGTCCGTCCTTTCTACTCTCCCTTTTGGTGCTCTTCTGTTATCATTTATTCCTTTCTCATACCCGCCTCCGTCACTGGTGGCTGGTAGAGTCTTTCTGTATGATTCTTTTCTACTTTCAATGATCCTCTGTGGAAGAGTGGGTGGTGTTCCGTACCCTCTGATGTTTGTGTTTCTAAATGTTCTCGTAGCATGCGCATACGAGTATCTTTGCTGCCGCTCCTGGTTCCACGTTACCGCTCCCTGCGAGGTCTCCGGAACCCGCAGGCAATTATCATAGCTTTCTCCGTCGTACTCCTCATATGGTCTTTCTCCTCCTTGATACCTTACTTCAGCGTTTTTCTCTTTTGTTCCCTCTCTCTTTCCTCTATCCCGTTCTCTCGGGTTCTCCTTTTTCCTTTCCTCTGTTTTTACGCGTCCTTCTCTGAGTTCCGCGACCTCTCTCCTCATTTCTTCAAGATCTCTGACCTCTTGAACTCTTTCACTCCTCAATCTATTCAATTCTTCGGACATCATTTCCACCTGCCTCTCCATCTCCGCATACTTTTCCGTATTTACTCTGCTCATGTCCGATACACTCGTACGACCAGCCAGGATCTGTACCGCGACTCTCGCCGATTCTATTCCAATTATTAATTCGTGTTTGAAATCGCCTCTGATCGATGTCGTTCTTTTCTGAGCGTCATATGCCGAATCCAGCATCCTGAGTGTACTCGTTACAATCTGCGGTGTTGACTCAGTGAACATGTTGAGGTTTTCTCTTTTTTTTTTCTCTATTTTGTGGACATCCCTTCTGGAAATGTCAAACTTATGCCCTCCTTGTTGGTTGCTCCTTTTTTCTTTTTGTTGAATCTCTCAAAGCTATTTTTATACATACTTTTCTCTCCCTGACGACTCTTTGAGGTCGACAGAGATCTAGATCCTGCCGATCTACTCAACTTTCTCTTATTTCTTTTGATGGTCTCCTCTTCTTCCGAATCGAATTCCGATGTTATCGATATCATTCCGCTTGCCATCGACGCCTCCCTGTTCATCCTTCTCAACGTACTTTCGTCTATCTCGTTGAACGGGCCCTCCGTCGTAGGGCTACTTGTCACGAGCCTATAATTCGTTTCCTCCACCGAAACTATTTTCGGTTTCGCCCCCGTTAGCTTCAGACTTTCATCAACTGTTCCTCTGTTTCGAAAGCCCAACTCCAATTCCCATTCTAGCCCTGCGCTTGATTCTGCCTCAGTGGCAGCCGGTCGGCCAGCGGCAGGGACCATACCCCCGACAATCCGGGTCCCAAGGTTCCGATTCTCAGGGTGGTTTTCTTGCTTCTCTTGACTCCTCATAATTTATTTATTGGAGGTTTTTACGAGACTCCCGAAAACTCGGCCGTACCAGCACACTTATTGGACGCACATTGTAGCTAATTGCCAGCCTTTAATCCCTCACCTGCTCGGTGATAGGGAAATTGTACCAACGCAAAACCGCGGGGTCAAGGCGGGGGGGATAGGAATCAAGGATCGAGGGGATACCCTCCTCCCCCGCGGATAACCCTTTCCACCGGGCCGATTTATATTGGCGCTTCTATACAAACACCTTCTTCCCTCCGGAGTCAGTGAGCCATAGATGATTTCCTTCCGGCCACCCTTGACCGCGTACATATATAGATGCTTACACAGCTACTTGGGATTGAGCTGTTATAACTTCCCTCAATCATGCATCCCTTTGTCGTAGCCTAAACGTAGGATTCAGAAGTTTCTAGTGTGGAACATCTATTAGCTTTTCCTTTGTGTTCTGTCGTCAGCGGAAATAAATTAATATTCACACTGTGGTTTCGTTTCCTAGTCTTTATTAATTTTTGTATGTTCACAAATATTGGTCACTATGTCTTAACCACGCATTACCGGCTAACGTATTCGCATTGCCACGATACACTTTATGTTACGACGGTGAATGTTGGCTATGTATTTCACATCGCTGTTGCGACGGAATATGTTCGCACAGTGATTTGATTTACTGGTGTCGACAACGCCTAGGGGCTGATGCCCTGAGTCGACCACGTTTAAGGGCTGTTGCCCAGATTTATTGTGATTTGGTACGGATAAGCGACAACGCCTAGAGAGAAAAACTTTTGAGTCGCGTTCGGCTCGAATAGACACTGCTCGGAGACAACGAGTTTAAGTAAACTGTACGATAGTCGCGAGAGAAGTGAAGACGCGATGTCAGTTTGTAAAGATCACGACGCGGTGGAAGGGAACATACCCCCAATCGAATCCGGGCCCTAATAGGTCGTTCGTCAGTCACGTGTGCCAAAGGAGGGCCGTGTACCTTGTCGTAACCGTACTGCGCTGCGGCGCGTTTTTTGTCACCGTTGCTAACGTCTCAACCGTCGGAAAGAGACGAACTGTGTATTGATGTCCGAGTATGCATGCGGACTTGTGTCAAAGCCGCCGTACCAAATTCACTGCGTATTATCATGCATGATATAAAAGAACTCTGACGCAACATAACTCCTGTGAGAGAACTCTGACGCAACACTTTGGAACACGCCAATTTACAGTTCCAGTCTTCTTCTCATATTCGGTAATATGTTCGTCCTCGTAGAGATTTTAATGTTTCCAGAAATTACCGGATTGGAACAGCTGTTAGCTTTTACTTTGGAACACGCCAAATTACAGTTCCGATCATTTCAAAGTCGGTGAAATTCTCTTCATCTGGTTGGCGATTTTATCTAGCAATTTCTTTATTTTAATTATTTTCCGTTTATTTTATTTTTTACTATCTATTGACTTTATCTTAAAATGACATTTTTCTTAATTCCTGTTTATTTTCTATTCAATTTTATCCATTTTATCTTGTTTTATTCAATTTTAAACTCCTCGAATCTGATTGGTTCCTATCGGCCTCTTCCTATTGGTTGTAATATTTTTGTCATTAACTAAATTAATTTTTCGTATTATTCTACAGGGTATTGTGCATCTTGACTGTGTATTATTTATATCTAGCAATTCCTTTATTTTAGCTATTTTCCGTTTATTTTATTATTTATTAACTATTGAATTTAGAACTGCTTGTTTTCTATTCAGTTTTAGCCACTTTGTCTTGTTTTATCTAGTTTTAAACTCCTCGAGTCTGATTGGTTCGTCTCCTATTGGTTATGCGTTTCCTTTGATTTTCCAAGCATTAGTTGTTTTATTTTTAGTTTTGAACATTGGGACCTAGATTATTCGATATTTTAACTTCTCTTGCTCTTGCTCTAATTGGTTGTTTTCACTATCTAGAGACTTTCTTCTCCTATCGCTATATGAATGTTCTCTTTTAAGTACATTAGTGTTCCTGTCTTATTCGACGTTCATCCATGTCCTTTTACGTGCAACAGCCCGCATATTTTCGCTAAATTTTATCTTCGTCGTTTTATGTTGTTAGTGTGTTAACATAGTATTATTGTGACGGCAGTATTCTCCATTTAATCATCTTCTCCCACGGTTTATACTCAGAATTCTTAACTGTTTAATTCTTCCTTTCTGTATCTTGTCATTTGTAAATACCGTGATGTTGCAACCGTCTCCGAAATTTCGGAAATGGTTGCGATGCGTCATTTAATGATTCAGACGTAACTATAAAGGCTTGATTCACATGTTAAGGGCGATCAGACGGTTACATCAAAAGATGGCCAATCCGAGCTCCGCGAAGGAGAAACCCATAGTTCGGAGGAAGTCCAAACAGCCACTGTAGACGAGGAGATACCAGCCGTGCCCGGCGAAGAGCCCTCCACTGCTGTAAAGCCTACCTGATTTATTTTTTTTTCTTTTTTCGTATATGGAATAATTATAATATTTTATCTTCCCTTAGAGTTAAGACAAAGTATATAAGTAAAAGTTCTTACAGCCAATAAAGAATTTTGAGTATAATTTATAAAGCAGTGTAACGTTAAAAGATTAAGTTTGATAAAAGTTTATTTGTTAATCCGTGAAGGATAATTTATTTGGGTTAAGTTTGACTAAGTTTATAAAAAATTAAAGAGATTTAGTAAAAACAATTTTATATCTTTTATTCCTGGTTGTATAGTTATATAAGTCTTCCATGCGAAAGGGGACTTACTGCGAGCACGTACAGATCGCGCAATTAATGCCTTCCAACCGTATGACGTCACATCCACTGTTGAAGCATCGCGTTTACTTTCTCGGTCGTTTTCATGTTCATGGCTGTAGTAGACAAATCGTAACCAGCCGGCGATATTGCGTGAATTTCTCCAACCTCTATAACCCGTGTTCGTTACACCTCGAATGTGTGTGATTAAAGTTTTGTTGACACTATTGACAGTCGTAAATTTCGTTTGAAAATATATTTACATAATCAAATTTTCAATTATTTACGGCACATAATTTATCAGATAAGTTGCTACTCTTTCTTTTTAAATTTATTTAACCCTTTGAAGCATACATTTTTCTTTACATAGAAAATAGCTGAAATTTGTTACTCGGGGGTTTTTGGGGTCGCTGATTACGAATCTGAGCTCAGATTTTCAAAATTCAAAATGGCGGATCCAAGATGGCGGACCAAAATGCAAAAAGTCGCTTGATCCAGTCGAAACTTTGTACTCGGGGGTTTTTGGGGTCGCTGATTACGAATCTGGGCTCAGATTTTCAAAATTCAAAATGGCGGATCAAAGATGGCGGACCAAAATGCAAAAAGTCGCTTGATCCAGTCGAAACTTTGTACTCGGGGGTTTTTGGGATCGCTGATTACGAATCTGGGCTCATATTTTCAAAATACCGCTCTCAGTTGATCCAGAGACACGAACGTGAACGTGGCGGCTGTTGTCTCCATTTTTTTTTTGTAATTTTCAGATATTTTTTTTTTTTGTATTTTTTGACATTTTTTATTTTTTTTTATTTTTAGGCATTTTTATTATTTTTTAATTTTTTTTTTTCAATTATTTAATTTTCTGTCATATATTTCTTGGTAGAGTTTTTTTTGTTTCTTTCGATTGCTAAGCGTGGTATGATGCAAAACAATTTCTGTTATGTAACAAGCATAATGGTACATTGCAAGTACTGCACAGCCATGACGTTTTTCTGTTATTTTTATCTGTGCTGCAAAGTGCACATCGTCTCTGCTTGCTTATAGAAACTGGCATGTGAGATGCTTCAGAGCGTCTTTTTTCAATGCTTACCTGAGGTTTATGGGGCCCAATAACCACGCATTGGCGTTTTCTTCCTTTTGTAGTTGGTATTTTATAACCAACTAATTCATTCACAAGAGATAATCTGAATTGTTTTAATGTCAGAACTTTGTCATTGTTTATCTTATTATATATAATAAATGAATTTACTACTGTAAGGTCAATGAAATGCCAAAATAACCTAAGCCACCATTTTCTAGATTTCCGATCGATTTTATACGTTGATAACAAACGATCAGCGTTGTCCACATAGCCCATATGTTTATTATAATCACTACACATAACTGGGCAATCCACAAATTTCAGCGATCCATCTTTCTGCTTGCGGCTAACCGTTGTCATTTCGCAAGGGTCATGATAATTTGATAAAAAGTGCACTGGTTTTTTGTCCATCCATTTTATCCAACGGATATTCGTGTTGGACGTTTTATAGTCATGTTGTCCATGAGTCATTTTTTTATCTTGCATGTCACTTTTGGGTAGTCTTGTACGATTGGAACGTACGGTTCCACACGCAAGAATTATGTCCTTTTTCAATGAAATCATTAGATCCATGCCAGTAAAAAAATTGTCGAAATACACATGATATCCTTTCCCGACTAAATGCCGCGTAAGATCTTTTACGACTCGAGCTCCTAATTGCTTTTCGGTGCTTTCTGTTTTTCCAGTGTAAAGTTGAAATTTGCAAACAAAACTAGATTCATCGGCCAGAACCCAACATTTATATCCACGTTTGATTGGTTTTGCTGGCATGTACTGCTTCAAGCTACTGCGATCTTTGAATTTTATCATTGATTCGTCCACCGACAAATATTTATTTGGTTTCCAGCAATTCTGGAATGATTTATTCAGCTGATCTAATAATGGTCTGATTTTGTATACCTTATCGTAATCTGCAGCACCTTTTTTGGTTGTTTAGTATTATCAGCAATGTGTATATTGCTAAGAAAGAATCCAAAACGATTCACTGTCATCAATGATGATATAAAAGGATCATTCAATTTTACATCAGATGACCAAAAATCACGATAGGAAGGTAATTTTTTAATTCCCATAAGAATATTTACGCCTAGAAAAATGAGTAATTCTTCTTTTGATATTTCTTGTTCCAATTTATTTTGCTTTAGATAGACATTTGTTTGTTCAACTATCAAACATAAAAGATCATGGGTAAAAAGATGAAGAAATATCTCTTTTGGCGATTTTATGTCGTCAGGAATGTAAGGTCCAACATCTTCGGCAAATGGAATATTTTCAAGCGATTTCCTACTTTTTGTCCATTTTTCGTTTGTTACAGTTTGTTCAAACGCTTCGTCATCTGATGAATCTATTGTATCAATGTTATTAGAGGATTCCATTTCTAAAATCAAATTACATTCACGAGTGTCAGTGCTACCATCGTGCTCATCTTCGTTATCGGAATCACAAAGACCATCAATTGATTCAGCATCACTTGGTATATCGGTCAATTCTATGTTGTTTGCCATATTCACGAGAAAAAAAGTTATGTAGCACAGTAAAATAGTATATTTTGATACAAGTGCTGCAAATTTTTCTACGACTCTGAGGTTTACCGCACGAACTGTAGTCCAATGGAGTAATCAAATATATCGAAATAGTACATTATGTATCAAGGACGCAAACTGTATCATTCTCGGCGAATGCGAGCATTGTTTATTTTTGTTTCATTGGGGCCGAGTGTAGCGAGGTCGCACGAGCGTCCGCGGTACATATACTATTTTTTTGTTCAAAGGCCGCTAAATGAATTTCGCGTCCCGTATAGAGACCGCGAAATACTAAATGTAAGGCTTAGGCCGCGAAATGAAATTTCATTTCGCGGCCTAAGCCTTACATTTAGTATTTCGCGGTCTCTATACGGGACGCGAAATTCATTTAGCGGCCTTTGAACAAAAAAATAGTATATGTACCGCGGACGCTCGTGCGACCTCGCTACACTCGGCCCCAATGAAACAAAAATAAACAATGCTCGCATTCGCCGAGAATGATACAGTTTGCGTCCTTGATACATAATGTACTATTTCGATATATTTGATTACTCCATTGGACTACAGTTCGTGCGGTAAACCTCAGAGTCG